CAACTGCAACCGAACTCCTCAGCGGCTGCAGTGTACGCACCATGCTGCAGAACCCGGTTGTTGTTGCTTGCCGCGAGGAGGTGCCGAATCACCACGTTTTTCTGACAGAGATTCGTTGAAATTCTTGCGTTTTGGCTGCTGGGAGGCACCCCCAGCCGCTGACATGCCTCAAATGACGATGGGAAGGCTTTTGAGCGGAGCTTCAAAGATGGGGTGGTGATTTCGAGCAACTTGAGCTGCGTTGGAGAGAGGTGTTCCGGTGGGACACCAAAATGACACCGGTTCTGTGCGTTCCGCGCTTCGAGGCCAGAACCAACAAAAAAAAACGGTTCGGGAAAAGACCAAGATGGGCCCGAGTTTCACCGCTTTTTGTCCAAACCGTACTTATATTACGGAACGGAGGGAGTATGTATTAATTAACTGATCGCTCGGAGTTGGAACCTCCATATTGGATACCTTGTACGGGTTGCGAAGAAGGTTGTCCTTGACGTGAATATAGTATATTGATGTTGCTTCGCCCAGACGGCTTTGTACCAGTAGTAGAGACAAACGTAAGTATGGTATGTAGGAACAGGGTGCTCGGTCAGACAACAAATCGACTGACTGACCCAAATGGTAAGACGAAATGGCCTTGCAATATGGTGCTGTCTCGATTGTGAGTTGAAACAGCCCTCCCACTTGAGAAATGATAATCGCCATTTGTATGTGGAAAGTGCAGAACGGAACAGTCATGTACACAGAAAAGCAAGTTGAAGGTGTTTAAACATCATGTATAGGGTCGAGTGACTGCTGTGGCCCCAGGACACCCAACAACAGGTAGCCCCAAAATACGTTCTTGTCATAAATGTTGGGTAAAGAGAGAGGGACAAAACACGCGTATGCATTAACTACAAGTAGGTGCAGATTTCCAATCTCCCACACTACTGACATATTTCCCAGACCCATGGGACTCCCATGGGTCACCCATGGGCCGCCCATGGGCTCTTCATGGGCTGCCCATAGCTCTTCATGGGCTGCCCATAGGCTGCCCATGGGTGACCTCTGTCCCGCTATAGCTTGGATGTCTTCTTTAGTACCCGGCTGGTTAGAGCAGTCGACGCAAAATATTGATGATGCGCTCACTCACACACACACCAGCGGCCTCGTCACGACCCTCACGGGCGGGCAGGCTAAGAACACATAGGTGGCTCCATCTGTCTCACAGCCTACATCTGGCAGACAGTGCCTTCGACCCTTCGACGGCGGTGGTATCTCCTACTCTCACGGAATCACAAATCTTTGTTTGGACAACGGATGGGTACAACCTGGATTTCCTGCTACTACTACACAGAACAGTACTACTGCGGCTGCTGCGGATACTGGATTCCTGGACGTGTTCACCTGAACGAAAGCCAAGAGAACCTGCCAGCAGGACTTGGCTCCCTCGTGACTTCCAAGTGGCTTGCTAGGTTCGGACGAGGGCATGTGTGGAGCTATGGCAGTGTATGTGTTGCTATTTTGTTTGAGTCATCTAGCTGCTGACACGATGACTGTTGGATCTTGGGAGTATACGATTATCACATTGATTGGGAGATGCAGCATACCACGATATCCTGGCTTCGGCTGGGCGTGAAATAACCCTTTTGCTATCCTCCGCTCTTTGCATGAGTGGCTTCCNTCCTCCGCTCTTGGGTGGCTTCCTAGGTTCGGGCGAGGGAATGTGTGGAGCTATGGCAGTGTAGACTACGTGTTGCTATTCTGTTTGAGTCACCTAGCTGCTGACACGATGACTGTTGGATTTGGGAGTGTGCGATTATCACATTGGGAGATGCAGAATACCACGATATCCTGGCTTCGGCTGGGCGTGAAATAACCCTTTTGCTGTCCTCCGCCCTTTGCATGAGTGGCTTCCTAGGTTCGGGCGAGGGAATGTGTGGAGCTATGGCAGTGTAGACTACGTGTTGCTATTCTGTTTGAGTCACCTAGCTGCTGACACGATGACTGTTGGATTTGGGAGTGTGCGATTATCACATTGGGAGATGCAGAATACCACGATATCCTGGCTTCGGCTGGGCGTGAAATAACCCTTTTGCTGTCCTCCGCTCGTTGCATGAGTGGCTTCCTAGGTTCGGGCGAGGGTATGTGTGGGGCTATGGCAGTGTATGTGTTGCTATTCTGTTTGAGTCACCTAGCTGCTGACACGATGACTGTTGGATTTGGGAGTGTGCGATTATCACATTGGGAGATGCAGAATACCACGATATCCTGGCTTCGGCTGGGCGTGAAATAACCCTTTTGCTGTCCTCCGCTCGTTGCATGAGTGGCTTCCTAGGTTCGGGCGAGGGTATGTGTGGGGCTATGGCAGTGTATGTGTTGCTATTCTGTTTGAGTCACCTAGCTGCTGATACTTGGAGTGCACGATTATCAAATTGGGAGATGCAGCATACCACGATATCCTGGCTTCGGCTGGGCGTGAAATAACCCTTTTGCTGTCCTCCGCTCGTTGCATGAGTGGCTTCCTAGGTTCGGGCGAGGGTATGTGTGGGGCTATGGCAGTGTATGTGTTGCTATTCTGTTTGAGTCACCTAGCTGCTGATACTTTGACTGTTGGATCTTGGGAGTGTACGAT